GGAATTATGCTATTACCAGAAAGATGGCAAAACTGTCTTTCATTTCCACAAAAAAAACGAAATGACTTTCCGAACAACCCTATATAATAAGTTTTACAAAATTAATGTATTTAAACAATGGATCGTCGTGTTTAACTTAGGGTAGGGTAATCAGATGCATACGGTAGTGTGCTACCGAAAAATTCCAATACAGGTATTGTACATCAGAATACATAATGAGAATTTCTGTCTGTCGGTATTTTCGTTATTCGGAGCGATAGAAACCATGAGTGCATAAAAAAGAAAGTGTGAAACTACAGAAATTCCTTAATTAGTTGGCTACTTCTTTACAGGTGCGTACGTGCCACACAAGACGTCGGTTGTTACTATGCCTATGTGATAAAACAGAAATATTGAAAATTAATTTAGATGGAAAGTAATACTCCGACTTTCAGAGAAGGCAATATAATATATCAATATAAAAGTATAAATATGGTTTATTTCTTGTTTAAAGGTGAAAAATACTCCTAACGAAATAACTTGTTTATAAAATTTATACATGTATACAAAACAAAATATACAATATTTTCTCTCAAAAATTCGAACCATTTGATATTTCAAACACCCGATAATTCGTAATATTTCCCTCGAGTTTCGAATTAACGAGAGTCGACTGTATCCTTGTTTATACATAATAACTCAGTAGTTAAAATTCCTTTATTCTCCTGTAGCCTGTAGTTAGACCGGGTAAAAAAAATCCGAAATTAGCTACATGCACATATATGTATGTATTTTACATACCTATTTCACAATACTTTTGTTAATTTTGTTTATAGTAAATATTACACCGGCATTGATTTCACCCATGGTTAATTTAAAATGTAGAATGCTCGTCTGAGTCTTCTTTCTTCTTTTAAGCAGAACTCACATTTGGCATTCACGTGTCTAGACATGTCATCTGCCGAGCAATATTATCAGCTAGAGTAGTGAGGCTGTTTTGGCAATTTACTATTAAATTATTATAATAAAATGGTTGGTAATTCAGAAAATTACACCTGAAAGTCATGTAGTCACAGTAATGAGGCCAAACATCAGCATCTTTTAACTGTATTACCAGTGACAGTTGCCACTGGTGAAGAAAGTTTCTCCAAATTCTGAATTAATAAAAAACCAACCAAGACATATATTAGATTTACGACCAAAAATTACACATTACAGATTTTGTAGAACAAATAGTTCTGAGAAAATTATTTTCTTAAATAGGAATATTTAGAGAAGTAAATATTAGGAAAGGAGTCAGACAGGGATGCACACTGTCACCGCTACTTTTTAATCTATACATCGAAGACGCGATCAACATCATTAAAGACAGTACAACTGTAGGGAGAGATATACAGGGGCAAAAGATTGGTATGTTTAAATATGCAGATTATATAGCAGTATTAGCATCTAGTAAGGAGGACCTAGAGATAGCTTTAGATAAAATGGAAGCGGTACTGACAGATCAGTACTGTATGAAAATAAATAAAAGTAAAACTAAAATACTGGTATGCAAGGGAAGAAAAAGTATGGAAAGGGCGAATATAAAGATAGGAGACGAAAAATTAGAAGTGGCTGATTTTAGATATCTCGCAAGTCAGATAAGTCAGGACGGAAGGAGTAGTAGGGATATAAAGCAGAGGTTAGCGCAGGTCGTGTCGCCTTCTATGCTCGCAAACGGTTAAATTAGAAATTCGAAAAAGGTTGTTAAAGGTGTATGTTTGGAGTGTAGCGTTGTACGGGTGTGAAACATGGAAAGGTTAGAAGCCTTCGAAATGTGGTGTTATAGGCGGATGATGAGGATATCGTGGGTAGAAAAGTTTAGAAATAAAGAGGTGTTGGAAAGAATAAGAGAACAGAGGAGTCTATGGAAGTCAATAAAAAATAGGCAAGATAGGTTGGTAGGACACCTTCTTAGGCATGAAGGTCTACTCAGAGACATATTAGAGGCAGAAACAGGAGTTAGGAGGGGTAGAGGTAGACCTACATTAGATTACTGTTCGCGAATAGTTAAGGGTGTGGGTTGTTCTACTTTTAGGGAAATACGAAGTTTAGCTCGAATAGGAAAGAGTGGAGGTACGTGTCCAACCAGTCTTAGGACCGACGACCCTATGGTGATGATGAAATAGGAATATTATTTCTAATTTACCTAGCCTGAAGTTATCATATTAGAACTACTAAAGATAAAAAACCTTCAATCGAAAACGTAATATAACATTTTTGAAATAGATGAAATGCGTTTAATATATTTCATTTGTGTTCATAGTACAATGACATTTGGTAGGAGTATTTAAAAACAATTAATAACTAATGAAAAGTTAATATTTATTCATGGTAGCACATCGATTGTGTACAGTAATTTACATTTATTTGACCTTTCGAAATACTGGGGTTTGCAAGTAAACGTGTTTTCTGTTTAATATTACTGATTTCGATGCTATTTTAATCAACTGATATACTTCTACACAACAATTATGCCAACATATTTAACACGTACTTCGAAAGTATAAACGGTTAAACGTTATTGAAAAGGTTGTTGGTTAATGTGTTCATGCTGAACTATATAAACATTAACATAAAATTATTTGAAACAGAAAATGTTTCGTATCACGTTCTTACCGCAACGTTTCCCTGTTTATATTGCCACTGAACTTCCTACAACGTACAAAACGAAATTGTTTGACAGCTATCACTCATGCAAACAATTAGTTACGTTTTGTATAATTTTGATTGCGTTTTGAGGTGGATTTGTTACTTATAGAGATATTCTATTTTTGGGAGGAAAAATTTGAAGAATATTTTACTTTTTACTAATTTTAGGATGTTTATTAAATACTATGGCAACCATAACTTAACCTTCAAGGGGCACATAAACCCTTCGGTCAGAATCGTCACAAATCCTTTTACGTATGTATTTTCATTTACACACTTTCTTTTGAAGTAAAAAAATTTGAAACCATTTGAGACTGGTTGATTTTCGCAAATTCGGTCTAAATTTTTAATTAAAAAAAAATTGATTCGCTTCATCAATCATAACAATAAGTTCGCGGACAGCTATTTAAACAACGTTAATGTACAGGATTGTACAGTATTCTAATAATTTCAATTTTTAAATTCCAAACTGCCTATTACAGTAAACATGCATAGTATACTGTGTCTGTGTGTGTGGAGGGAGAGAGAGAGAGAGAGAGAGAGTAAGTGTGCAGGTGGACACCACAGATGGTATTTGCTCACAGTGCGTTATGCTCTGATTGTTTTGCTATGTATTAAGAAATCTGAAGTAAGTGCCAGAAAGACTGCCAGATAAAAATGTAACAGAACGTATGAAAGTAACTATTTCGATCTGCAGCTCCACTGACCTCTCTGGAACTGCACTCAGTGCCTGCAGTTACCTGCATAGGTATGTATTGTATTTAATGCGTTGTTTGTACATATTTTCTTATGTAAACAATAAATTGCTCGACTCGGGAAATTCCAATTACTTCATTGTTACAAATAAAAATACCGTTATTAATTTTGCACTCTATTCTGTTCTAAAACTTCAAATAAATTCCGTACACCTTAAATAATTACTGTAATTTTTCTATTTAAAATGAACAACACAAAATATGAAAATAAAATCAATAAATAGCTGAGAAAATTTTATACGAATTAGAACGTCCTAAATATTCAAACACGTCTAGCTAAGAAAACAGAATTTGTTCGGTCTACTCTAAAATACATATAGGTTGCTAAGTACCTACTAATGTAGATTATTAGTAAAAAATAACACCTTGTATGCAATTAACTCGCGCTGAATATATGGAAGGGAAGCTTGAGATTATAGCTATCTTTCCAGATAATGTTGTTGCTCCTGCTTTCTTATAGGAAAATAGGCACGCTTTTTCGCTACCTACTGCTTTGTTCTAATTAAAAAAAAAATACGAAAACGGTAAATTTTAGAAATAAGAAAGCTACATAAAAGTTTACCTAGAATCATAAGTAGAATTCAAAACCATTATAATATACAGGGTGTTCCATTTAAAATAATGAAGTTGATTTCAACTTCTGGTATAACCGGAAGTGCTACATTAAATACCGTTATTTTAATTGAGGAGATCACACCCTATAACGCCGTTGTACAAATTTTCAATTTTAAATCGAAGTAGTTTCCCAAATATTTTAATGAGCGGTCACCGTGTGACACCCTGTATGTACGAATAAGCACAAATGTTAGTAAACAAACAACAAAACCGATAACAAGTTAAAAACGGGTATGAATTGCAAAAAAACAACGCGGAAGATACTGAGTAGGTAGGTACGTACCCATAACATTGTTTTACTTTTAGATTTACGAGTCTTCAATTGACCTTGCTTCGTTGAAATAGCTAGGTCACCGTCGTTATTACATGGCATCTGGTTTATCTGACGATGAGAGGCATTAAAACAATTGTTAATCCAGCCGCCAACGCCTACTCGGTAGGTAGACAGATCGGCGTTAGTTTGAGAAACTACCTACCTATATACGCAATTATAAGAATAAAACAGGTACATTTAATTTAATCTGCAATCTAATTGTAAACAACTCGAAAACAATCGGCCATGAACAGACAAGCTAATACATATGTACAAATATAATTACTTATCTATGTGCGTGAGAATGACGTAGAGCACGGATATAAACGAGTCAAGGAGAGAGACAAAGAATGAAAAAAATGAGACGCAAACGAGTTCCGTACTTGCGCGCTGACAGTCTGTATCCGAAAAACACAAAGAATTGCGAAGAAATAGGTAGACCGGTTGACTACGAACGATGCAACAAGGCTACAGCGTATTGCAATACACATTCATTATTTGGCAGAACAAAATTGTGTCAATTAGAATACTTGTAAGACAATAAGATTGCACTTAGAACGAATTAGTTAAGAATACTACCCTCACTTACGTAAAAATATAACTTTTGAAAATGTAACAGAATTACCAAAACAAAGAAATCGACTAACCTCGCAACCTGGTGGACAAATGGTGATGAATACTTCGTCGTTTTCAAAATGATGTTTTACAACTTCACCGGCTACTTCTCTTCCGTTATATGTAACGTATGTTTTTTGACCTGGAACAAGCTCAATTCCTGTAATAGATCGAAATCCTGGCCCGATAAGGTCTGTTTCACGAAATTCAGCTGTAACTCTGCCAAGGTTGCCTTGCCTAGAGTCGAATCTAACGGAATATCTAGTGTTCGGAGTTAAATTGATACAATTGTTGTTTTCTGAATAGCTGGCAGGCGTCTTTACAGCGTGTATTACGCCAGAGTAGTATTTTCCGTCTTCGCCGGGAGCACAAACTCTAGTACCGATAATGGACCTTTTTGCCAATCGCTTTCCAGTAGACATAACGATAACAAATGTTAATTAAACAAGTCCGAACGATACAACCTTCAACACGCACGACAACAAAGCAATCAAACGAATGTATCTCTGAAGTACAATCTGCGCATTAAAATTTTCTGCTTTGATCTTTGATGCAAACTAAAGCACTCTAATTTTACTCTGCACACGAATTTTCCATTATCATCAATGAACATACTATCCTTTGTCATACTATGAACAAAATCGTCTCTATCAACACTTCCGCAAACTCGAACGGCTGAACGTCAACTGACGTAAACCGGCCGGTGAACAGGACTTCGAACAGCTGATTCGAGCGCACTTGTTGTCGAAAGCCATCGCACTCAACTTACGTGGTCGTAATAATATACGAAACAATGACGTAGGTGGAAACTAGTACGGTACACGCAAGTTACAGCTGATGATAACAACAAAACCATGTGACTTGCAGGCGCAAGCCAATTGGGTAACTGTGCTGACCTACATATGACTATTGGTTAGAAATTGGTAGTGGGGAAAGGTCATGTTGCGTAGTCTGAATTTCAGTTGTCGGTGGCTGAAATGCGTAGGTATTTTATGTATGTATTTTGAATAGGTAGTTTGTTGTTCACTTTATGTTTGTCGTAATAAAAACTGACAAAATAACAAAGGAATTTAACTATATTTTTCATTTGTTAAAACAAATATAGTTGTTTTTGTCCGTGTAAATTTTCAAAAGTATAATTTATAGTACAATGAAAATTCACAAAACGTAAGGCGCTTTTACAGGGTATGTTTAAAAAGTAATATACTGTTGGATGAAATTACTCTACTCACCTATTGAACCTTTTTCTCAGTAATACTTGATAACACAACAAATAAAAAACTACTATATTTTTCGGTGTCTTACTTAGGTACTTCACATCTATAAATTAATTAAAACTACCTAATCTATTTTAAAAGGAAGTAACTCTTGTATTGATATTATCTATATAAATATTTACGATAAATAACAAAAAGAAAAATAAGAAATGGAGAAATAGAGTACACTCACATACTGCTGTTTGCATAGAAAGGTTACTTATGGATAAAAATTTACTTTTATTCTATAAAATTTTTGGATAACTGTATCACTTAAGCCTCACTTCTCTGAAAATTTAGTATGCTGTGCACTGTGCAGTAAAGCAGTGATTCCCAACCGCTGGTTCGCGAACCCCTGGGGGTTCGCGGTGTTTGCAGAGGGGGTTCGCGAAAATAATATTGTAATGGGGGATTTTTTAAAATGCCAAAAAAATTATTTGTTTTTCAAAATTACTTCATCAATATCAAAATATATCAACAATTTTATACATTAAAATTTATTCCTCTAATTCAAGTAATCAAATACTATTTATTGTCTTTCTATTACAAACATTTATTTATATTTAAAACATTTTATCAATGTGATTCGTATCATGTTCTGCTTTATATTTAAAATCATTGCAGCAGTTTTCCCTTCTGTGTAATATTTTTTTTACAGTACAATTGGAAATAAATATCAAATTTACTACATTTACATCATTTTAGTCTTATTAATGTTTTATTTAAATATTTCACGATTCAATTATTATGCAATATGAAAAAGTATATATTCTATCAAATTTTATTGCTTTTTTTTACCTGTCATTAACGACTACATAGGGGGTTCGTCAAATTTTTTCGGACTTTTCTTTTGGTTCGCGTGGACAAAAAGGTTGGGAAACACTGCAGTAAAGCATGCTCGGAGATCTATGGATTAAGGTCATTACCATCTCGAAAATCTTTTGATAAGGTGCTTTTGTGCAGCTCAGATGTGGACTTTAAATAATGAGTTTTAAAGTAAATTATGGGAACCATAGACTTTGATCGTTACGAAGTTTTGTAGGTAAGTAAGGTATGCAACCCATTGTGTCAATCACTGGCGCAAAGAGCTGCGCGCGCGATACGCCTGTAGTAAACAACTAATTATAACATTATAATTTCCTTTCTTTCATCAAATTTTCTATATTATTTTGTGAAAGTTTCATATGCGGTGTAATTTTTATTTGGAGCTAGATAACCAGCAACAAATAACTATTCTTCAGCTTTTTTATTTACTCCATTAACACAACTTAATACTAAATAAACTTAGTTAATTGATACTATTTATTGACTGTTAATAGATTTAGAAACGATTGAAGATGATTGACAATGGGCGACTTAATAGTAATTATTATTATTCGTATCTTTGACCGATTTTAAATAGTGTTTTTATTCCATGTCACAAAGAAAAATGGTTAAATCAATAATTGTTGAAAATTCCCGTAGAAGTTTAACTAATGAAAATGACCACATTGTTTAAAACATGAAAGTCTTACATTAAATAATAACAGAAAATATAAGCACTGCTGAGCGCCAACATCCTGTTGATGGATTATTCCATTATCATTTGTAAATATAGTTGATAAGTTATCAGCCTTTGTTTTAATTTCTAAAATGTATAACTTGAAATAAATGTAATGAAATATTTTGTGACAGAAAGTAATAAAACTAATGGTATATTGCAGCTGCATGTATGTATCTATTCTTTTGTATATACTTATACAGGGTGTTTCTGAAATAAGTAGCAAACTTGATAGGGCACTGTATAATAAGAGAAAAACGAATTTGAAGGTATAAATAAGCAAGGATCATGAAGGATCAGTCCAACCATTGCAAGCTATGCAAAGAAATAGACGATACGTCCCATTAATTTGTTGCAGTATCAGTGTTGCATTTCTTGTGTATTTTTCGCTCATGTATTGTTTGTTGTTTGTTAGATTAGATTAAGTGTTATTCAGGATGTTTATGTTACAGCCGATCGTAGCTGTTATTTGTGCTTTTAACGTTGTGATCTTGATGTATTTAATCAATCAACAATATTGGCAGTAGGTCTGTTTCGCCTTTAATTTGTTGTGCCAAAACCTACCTATTTACCTACCGGATTTTTATTAGCTTTTAACTCTACTTTTACCTCATACCCTTATATGTTCCACCAGTTAAACTAAAAATCAATAATTTTCATCACTACGTACGTAGATCAATCGTAGTTTCGTTAATGTTAGTTGTATATTCGCGAGTGAACGTCTTTCTCTTCCCTTTTGCTATTTTTTATCTATTTTTCAGTTATTGTTTGATTTTGTTTTATGTGTGTTTGTAAAATAAACTGTTCATTTTTATGGAGTTGTTTTATCTTATTCTCTGAATTTCACGATTTAATCATACAAAATTGGCCCTCTAATAAGGTGTCTCCCAACAGTACGCGACATTTAATGGTCCTTCGAGCCGAATACGTATTGCCAGCTTGAATCGTAAAATTTAAAACATTTTTGTGCAAAACCACTCGAAAAGCAAATCAATCAAAAGGAAATCTAAACTAGCATTCAGACGCGGTCAACTTAAAGCAGCTCTAACCAAATTCAAAACATTCATTAGTGAATTCACTGATTCACTAGTTAGTCAAGCTAAACTCCAGCAACGAATTGGCATTCTTCAAGACATGTTCAAAACCCTTACTATTTTAACTGAAGAAATTATCCAAACAGATCCCAATTGCAAACACGGAAACCATGGCGAAATTAAAATTGTGGTTATGTTTAAATTAGTTTTAACAAAGTTGCTGAAAAAATTCGAATTATTCGAACCATTACCAACAACAAATTTAAGTTCAACAGGCACAAGCAATTTAATACCGTTGATCGAACTCTAACTAGAATGCCGAAACTAGAACTAAAAAAATTCGACGGTAAACTAGAGAACTGGAAATAATTTTCTCACTGGTTCATTTCTACCATTCTAAATCGTGAAGGGATAACCGACTTCATGCGGTTATCGCATTTACATGAAACTTTAATTGGAGAAGCAGCAAAAACCATTGTCGGGTTGGAATCAACAAACGAAAACTACAAAGAAGCGTTCGATCTCTTGGAATCAACCTACAACAACTAGCATGCTATAATTTCTCGTCACTTCGAACTACTTGTTGCAATACCTAAACTTCAAACAAACTCAGGTGATTCATTGCGTCATCTAATCAACGAAATTTTAGTTCATGTACGTGGAATGAAGGTTTTGGGTGAATCAGCACACAAATGGGACACACCGTTACTTTAACACACTATCTCGAAGCTAGATTGTACAACAAAATGCGAGTAGCACCACATGAAATTAGGTACGGCACGACGAAGATTCGAGGCATTAATCACATTCCTGAGAGAAGAAGCTATGAACACTCAAATCACAATCTGAAGTGAAATCGATTCAAACTACACCAAAGTCAACAAGTTTGTATCATCAGGAAGGAATAAACACCAATAACACAAACAAGTGCTGACTACGTCAATATTTAAGAACTGTTCAATTTGCAAACAAAATGTCCACCGAATCTTTAGATGTGAGGAACTACTTAACATGTCTGTTTCGCAACCCATAAATGCAGTAAAGCAAGCCAACATATGCTTTAACTGTCTACGTGCTAAACATCACACTGAAGAATTCCGAAGTGGAAATTGCATTAAATGTGGTAAGCCACATCATACTACCCTTCACCTCAATAAATCGAATGCTAAAGAAGATCATCAAACTAGTGTAGTCTTGCTAAACAGAGGTAAGATCGAAAAAGTAATGGCTACGACTCTAGTAAACGTCATTGGCAAGAAGGAGCGTTCTATTCGCTGCAGAACATTACTCGATACTGCATTTATATCTAGCCTTATTACTCAAAGATTAGCTAAGACTCTTGACCTTCTTAAACACCAATACAGTTTGACAGTTAGTTGACTTGGTGGCATTCAAATATCATCCTCATGCATAATTACGGCAATTATCCAATCTAGACACAGTAACTTTAAGAAAAAACTAGATCTGGTTACGGTTCTGGAAACAACTACAAACCACCCATCAAGTCTTACTGACCGAAATGCAGCCAAACTTCCGTCAAACATTAATCTAGCTGATCCGACGTTCCATATGTCAGGAAACATCGATATGCTAGGCCAGCACTTTCAACATTTATTTCTGCTCAAAGAAAATTGTCTACAGCAAATTGACCGGATTTTTTTATGAAAAATACCCACTTTGGTGGGGTTTTCAATGGCGCAATGCCAAACAAACCTGACAACACCCAAAGGCAAACTCTAGAACACTGTCATGTAAGTACTAACCAAGTTTCTTTAACAACTCCAGAATTTGGGCAATCGAAGAAAGACCCAAGATAAACCGCTTATCTGAAGAACAGGGGTGGCCTTTGAGGGTGGCGAGCTGGGCAACCGCTCGAAGCCTCGCTCTTGCAGGGGCCTCGCGTTCTCGCGTAATTT